GTTGAAGTATCATCTCATGGAACCTGGAAAAAGACGGCAAAGAAAAAATTTGATGGCAAGTAGGACATTCTGCATAGATATACTTCACCAATTTTATGAAGATAGGCAAAACGACATTCCGATATTCACCCGTTCGTTGCAAAGACTTCTACTAAAGCGATTTATATTAAATATGTGAGAGGAGTCGGCCAATGCTTTTATTCAGTTAACTATACACGAGATCGGAGATCCCTACAGATAGGACGTAACAACATCAAACAAACAATCCATATACACAAACCTTTATCTGAACGACCTGTCATCCTGTGTTATACGGTGTTCGTAAAAATACGACTTTTTTGTAAGATTTCTAAATTTCGTAACTGCGCGTAAGTAATCAGGGTGAACGTTCGATAGGCCCAGCTAAGGAGAAGACTTCTTCACTGAGACATCTAAATGCAACATTATATGGGGCAAATGAATATGCTGTAATACAATTTATAATGACAGTGTCCTAAGATATTCCTCAACATTCGTTATCGTATTGTAAGGCAAGTATGACTGTGCGCGAATTTACAGCTGAACTTAAACTTTAAGTAGCCACTAGAATTTTTTTCAAAGCTCTGCTCGCGTGTGGCGCTGCGATCCAATAAAGGGTGATAAACAGCGAACAGAAATTGAGCTGCTCTATCCGCCAACGAATCGTGGCGCATTGCTACGTTTGACCAAGAGACGTTTATTATTATTTTTTTATTCTTTGTTGATCAACGACTTCAGTTTCTTATGATTTCGCTTCTTGCACCTGCAACCACGATGAAGATGTGGCGCGCGCTACGTGATAGAAAAATCAATGGGATTCTTTTATGTGCACAATAGCCTAGGTAACTTATTTCTAATTTGGTTTTTATCGTTAAAGGATAGCTATCGCCAATAGAGACTTCGATCGTTCCGTGGTGAATTGCAGTACACTGCATTTTTTGCGTTTGTCATTGGTAAGAGCGACGACCAAGTCCGCTTCTTCTTTCTAGTGATTTTTAGACACTATTCAAATACGCGCTTATTTGTACAAATGAATGACTCTGTGATTTCGTGCACACGACCTGTAAGGTTTGCTTCGCAGACGTTTTTTTTTTGGTGATTTGCTCTCGTTGCGACTATCCGTGCTGCCGCTGCTACTGCAGTTAATATCACTGTTGAAGGACAAATCGAAACGAGCTTGTCCACGTGGAGGTCACTAACTATGGGTTCATTGAGACTTTGATTTTTATCAACAGTTTTATAGTGTTCGATATTACGAATCATATTGCTCATTGTGCTCGTACACGAAAACTGCTACACACATGCTCAGACCTCATGGTCGCAGAGCTAGTAATTGCATTATAATTGGCAATACCAGTAAGCATGACACGGTTTGCGGAGATGCCCAATAGCTGAAGAATAACCATATTGCTTTCACATTGGAAAACCTATTTCCCCGCGCGGTTTTTTTTCTCTAGAGCCAAAGAAGAATGATTCAGGTGTAGATAGCTTCACAGAAACGCCAAGGATGTAAGCGGTCATTTTTTTTTTAACAAAATGCTGCATAAACCACTTAGATCGTTAATAAGGATTTACTTTTCGTAAAAACAATTCGTGTGGGCAAGATGCCAGTTTGAGTGAAGGATTGAACTAAAAAAGCTTGCTCTTTGCCCGTTTAGGCCATCGGTTAGAGTTGTAGATCTCTAGTTACGCAGTGATCTGGAAAGTTACATTTTGTTAGATAAACAAACAGACACTTACATATATCTGCGTCACGATATTGTTAAAAAACTGATAGCAAAGAAGAAAAATTGTAGCTTAATATCTTTGACAAATTATGACAGATACTATGTTCTTCTGTGCCAAGAACATACTTTCAACATGTGGCTTTTTTGAACGTATCGGTCCTTATGGCTTCCTGTGATTTTAATATCGTCGATCATATATAATTGTAATCTGTAACTTAATTAAATTCTAGTAGAAAGTGTAGGTTATTCGCTTTGTAGGAAGGTTGTCAAAATCAATGTGGTGCTATTGAATTATCTGCAGGTGATTTATATGAGTGGGAGAATATTTGACATGAGAAACCGTTACCGAAATTGACCGACAGGTATCTTTGAAGGTCATCTAGGCTTCAGGATCGGTTCGCACCTTTGTGACTGTTTAGGCTAACGCCCATCAAACGAATATTTTAGACCGTCAGAGGAGCCCGAAGAGTCGTATCGGTGTGTGAATAACTTATTATATATGATTTCTAGCTTAATCACAGCCAGCATCGGTTAAACAAAGGTATTAATTACACCAATTTCGGTTTTCTGAAACAGACCAGAGCTGAGTCACGAATGACGAGGTCTTAATCTTGTATAAGCTAGTGGCTGCCGCTAGCAAATCCAAAACGGCTTGAACTTTCCCAAAATATGAAAGTCTCAGTTAGGCACGCACGACCATTGCCAGGTCAAGGACGCTTTGGTTTCTAAATTTTTCGGACAACATTTTCAGTGACAACGCCAGCGTTTCGCGTATTTGGTACACCCACACAAAAACATCGAGAGAAATCTTTAGGTGTTAGTCAATAATTAATAAGTGATTTTTTAAGATATGTGATAGTTGAACCTTGCACAGTATAGCACTAAATTTGAACTCTACTAATTCTCGTCTAGGATTGCGATCTTATAATATCGATACGGTGTTGGCTTTTTTATCATTGTCAGGAAGGAAGCAGTAGCGGCCTTTTAGAACAGTTGAAATGCTTCCATTGAATGGCTGTGTATTTGTGCAGAACGAAACAGTAGAGCTACAGTACATAACAATTTTTTTGTTAAAAGATATTGACCATCAACTTTATTTAAGACATTTGAAATGCCTCCGTCTGTTTCTAACATTACTTTTTCTTCAACTAAATAAATAATGCTATCAATTTCAAGATGTTTTACATGCTTTCTAATTTGAGCGGCATACCAACGAACACTAATTAAACGTTTCTTTTAAGACATTCGTTTCATCAATATAGAGAGCTCGTTTAAGACTGCGATAGCGAATTCTAATATGGTGTTATCTGTAATTTCAGCCAATGGCTTGACTTCAACGTATCGCTTCATATAAGTAATGTTTAGTGAAAAATTTAAAAAGAGTTGTGCAACCTTTGTACGAGTATCGATGTTTAGCCGTTGATGTTACTGCTTTAAACTCAAATCCAGCCTCGTGGGCTGTTCACAGGTTGTTTTAAATGGTAGTGTCAATTCATTATTTGCAACGCTCTAGATTTTTTCGACATGTACGTATGTATTAGTGGCGCCGTTACATGGTTGTTGTTGTTATTATAATCAAGTCAATGAAAAATGTCGAGATTAGCTAACTCAAGTTGCTTCAGCTCAAAATTAAATCAAAGTCAAAATAGTTGCTTTTAGAGAATTTATGAATAATTGACTACCTGCTAATTTGAATCATAATATGCCAGCAAGTTCTGCCTATTTTAAGTGACCACACGGGGTTATCCCGATAAGAAGATGATGATACCTTGGTTTCATGGTCCCGTGAATAACCATCCATGGGAGAAAAAGGTTAAATCTTTATTGTTAAGAAGCGGAGATAGATCATTTAAACGCACCTACCACTAGCACTATTGTGAGCCACTGGAAATAATTTTATCTATCATATAGCAACGAAGGCCATATCTACATATATACGCACGCAAGCCCACACAGACACTCATCCAACATGCTATTAGAGTTTTTCTGCGGCACTGGCTTCCCAACTACTCGTATCTAATATAAATAGTCAGTAAAACAGCCAGAAGAATTCACAGCCTTTTCTTCTTCACTTTTACTACTGCTGCTTGAATATTTATTACAATTATTTTTGAAATATATATATCACCATATGTTATATGTATTTTGATTGCCGCGTTATTACGATAACTATATAATGAAAGTATTATAAGAAGAATTTTACTGTAGTACCTAATTCTTTTGTTGACCAGTTTTGCGTGTGATTTTTTTCCCGTTTCTCACGGTTGTTGGCTCACTGAGTGTGGCTATTGTCCGATGATGACAGACGAGTCAACTGTGATAACGCGAACGCCATTAGTTAGGCCGTGTCCAGCATATCTTCTTATCAGCCACTGCTACGGACAGAAGATCGTATGGTCATTGTTGAATAAATTTGATGGAGGGCCACCTTCTAGGCTTCTTGTGAACTGGTGGTCGTAATAGCAACAGCAGAATGGTGTTCCGACCTTGTCAGGCCGATTTGCCCCCTGCCCTTCCTCCTCCTCCTACTCCTCCTCCTCCCTCATTTCGGACCACGACAACCACCTCCGACCCCATCTGATCTTTACTACTGCGCAGGACACGTTTGCTTTGTCTAGTGACAAGGCTAGCTTCTAGTTTCTTTCCAACAAACTGGCAGCTTTACGCATTTATGAGAGGGCTCGCCGCATCATCAAACGCTGTCGCGTTCATTGAAAGCATGGAGATGAGTAGGTAAGCTATAGTTGGGGGCAAAAGACATTACAATAAACATTACTTCGATGGTAAGGGAGGAGTTGCAAGATAAACAGGAGAAAAAAGCGAAAGAAAAAACAACAAGATCAACAAAAACAAGGTAATGATTATTTGCCTGTTATCGATAGCGTGCACGATGGGCTTGATATATTACGAATCTGTTTGTTGATATGAAGCTTTGTATGCCCGCGTGTCATCTGTAAGCACACATCAACCTCCTACCCACCCTCGTGCTTTTCCTAGCGAGCTGCTGATGTGGTAACATCGTCTCTAGCAGTCAATCTACCCCGCTTTTTCAATGCGTTGCTTTAGCCCATCGCTGGCGACAACTGAGCTATATCGCTGTCGCGGTTCTCGTGCCGCTGGGTATGCTGACGGCGCACCAGTGGGGGCGCTGCTGTCGACCCTTTGACGGATGTACAAGGTCACGGGACTATTTAAGCTCTGTACGAATACCTCACGGAATCTAAGAAGTCATGTTCGTCTACCGATTAGGTCATCAGACACTAACGAAAACCACTTAACGGATTTATTATCGACCTTTGTGTTTTGTTCTTAACAAAGTTAGAGGTAATTATTTTGCTGTGCTCATTCAACTTTCTACGTGAATGGTCTTTGCCGAGTGGAAAGTTAAGGCCAGAGCCACGTGCTTTCACCGCGTGAAACCAGGCGCAGAAAAGAAGTTTAAAGTTTAATGTGGCTGTAAACGCTTTTGGATGGCAGTGCAGTTGCTCGAGTTCGTCTGAAGAAAAAAGCTTGTTAGTGTGCTTCGGAACAAGTGCCATACGTACAACGCTGTTAGGCGAAACGTGATGAAGTTCCTCGTAAGTGTTAAGATGCTAATACGTTGGTAATGCGCTGTGAATGTCACAGTAGTGATTAACGTCACAGCTATTTAACTTACTTCGAGTGGGGAGACAAGTATGAAATTAAAAGTCTTTGAATGTGTAGAAAAAGTACTCGCACATCCATATTCAGAGGATTCCACGTTGAATCTTGACTCGCCTTTCTCTGTTGGCAACTTTTAAAGACCTACCGCGCCCGCAGTATCTGTTTAAGTTGAATAGTTACCATTAGAAATGTGAGATAGTAGTTTACTCTGCGCTAGAATAAAAAATCGCATTTGAGATGGTCGAGATTCGAAACCCGCTGTAGACAACTTTTGCTTTGTGATGTAAGGACAGAAGTACCCCACATTAATTTTAAAGCATTCAAATCCAGATGTAGCAGCATGATAGATTGTGCTCGCACACTCTGTTAAAATTTCTGCACCTTGTGTACGCATTTAAAACTCGTCTGCTTTTTAGGCAGGACATTGCGGCGGGCAGTCGTTCTTCTCGTCCCCCGTAAGGCGTTTTGTATCATGTGGTGATTTTTCAAGAAAATAATCCCATTTAGCCTTGAGTTAGCTTAACTAATGTCGATCATAGGTATCACTTCGATCTCATAAAAACAATCACCGAAATTAGTTATCTTGATTAGTCGATATATGCTTGAAGCTTTTATGTGAGAAGAGTATTCCGGATTATTATAGAGTGACTTGTCAGTTACCTTTTTTCGTCATAAGATGCGCAAGTTTAATATGTTGCTCTACCGCCCTGAGAAGCTTGTCGAGTATTTTGTGTTAGAAATGATATTTAGAAGAGTTGTTCTGTCGAGAAAATCCTTATCTTACCTAATACTGTAACACAAAGTGTTCTTACCAATGTTCGAACGACTGCATCTCCGGCTTATCTGCGGGGCTCTGTTATACAGTAAATACACATTGATAAAAAAAGCATCATAATGCGCAGCTTTATGAAGTTGATATGGCCGTCCTGCTGCATAATTGAATAATATTAGAACTACAATTCGTCGTATCAATTCCAAGCTGTCTGAACTCTGATAGGGGAATACATCATTTAGTGAAACGTTATATACAAGAATTTGTACATACGTACAATTTGCTTTGATCTACAGTCGCATATACTGATTACTCATGCCGATCATTGAGTAATTACGAACTCATTTATCTTTGACTCATTAAATATAAGCTTTTATACGTATGAACAAAAACTGCAATGCTATGGCGTATTTTTCGAGGGAGGGCTCTTAAATCGAATTCAACGTATAGCCGGATGCGATGGTAAGAAAGATGAGAAAAAATATATAAATCCACTATACTTTTTGTATTAGCCAGAGTAGGAGAATCCGCAGTGAATTCAGGGTTAGCGCGCTAATTATTCAAACACAAACACCTATATTTCAACTAGCGTAAGCTTGCTTTTTTAGCTTCACGTAACTTTTGCCCCCTATCCTGTGTAGTTATATCGAATTTACGACGATCTTTTATAACGTTGTCCTCAGACCTGGTCGTTCAGTCCACATTTATAATCATTATCGTCGTAACAGATATGTGGACGTATTAACTAAGGCTAAGGCCAGTAGGAAATATGGTTTTAAAAAGCATCATTTAGCCTGATAAAATACATAAGTTCGAATGTTTGTTTTGTTTTGTTTCTTTTTTGGAACTTTATAGATCGTTATCGTCTGTTTGACAATCGGCATCCACGCAGGTTTCCCAAAGGGCAGTGGTCAGGATGGTGGCTTCTCGGGAGGGTTTGGGAGAAACTACGGAGGGGGTTTCAGCGGGAGCCGTGGTGGCGGTGGCAGACATAGCAGACAGCAGCAGAAGGGGGCGATCCTTCTTGTGAAACAATCGCCAGACAGCCACAGAGGTGGCGCGGGCCGCTCTTTAACTGTTTCCGGGCCGACACACGTCGTGCGAACGATCCATCATATTCAGCGAGTCGATAATGGTGGCCAGGTTCTCGTCAGGTACATATGGGTACATAATAAAATGTTCATGTATTCATCCCTACTGATTTATGGATACGTTACCTGTCACGTACGCATACAGGGTGCCGAAGAAAAGAAAAACAGAAATTGTTATTTGCGATAATCCAATTGTCTGTATGCTATTATTGTTACTCCTATGTAGGTGACTTATGCAAGACTCATGAGACACCAGTTATCAGTTTACTGGCTTTTTCAATTTCGACTTTTTTTTTTTTTTACAGAAGTGGCGGTAGTAGCGGAAAACAAAGCGCTGAACCTAAATACCTATTGCTAATCAAAACAGATCAGGCCTCGCATGGCCGCGGAGTTCAACGACAGCAACGACACATGCAGCAGCGGGGTGGATGGTAGATCGTGATGTATCCGGGTGACAGCAACGATAGTGTAGTGTCCTGTTGACTGCCCGTGATAGCCTGGTGGGTAACGTATTCAGTCGCTATTCTCAGGAACACGTGGTCGGACATGCGAGCATAGATACATAACACTTCGTTTTATACCGGGTGCCAGCCGTCTTCAGCCGGGAGTGCTTAGCAGCGACGCCAGACGTAAAATTCGAAACATTTAGACATTTTCTTGGGGGAACTGAGTGGTTTTAGCATCTTGTAAAGTCTCTGCCGGTCGTTTTTATCCAAAGTCAGTTCTAAAATGTGCCTAGCTAGGTCACCGTTTATAGGACTCAGCCTGCTGCGCAGCACTATACTGGCGTATGGCTACGATCCGTAAGTGCAAAAAACACTTGACTGTGTAGATACTGTTGCTGTTACGACGCCCTAAACTAGATGATACTTGTCTAGCGACAGAGGGGATAACAGGTACGAGGTGAACGAAACGCGAGAGATAGAAGAGCATGATCGATGGAGCAGATCTCGCTAGAAACGTGCACCTGAGTTTGCTTGCTTATTAGAACGATGTACCTGAATATGAACGAAACAATAGGTTTCAGCTACATGAAAAATTCGTTTTCATTATGTCGCAGTTAGACCAACTTGATAAGCTAGAAATTCATTGAATAAGAGCCAAAGTGATATGGACCATAGAGGCCATTCAGGTCACTGGAGCAAATACACTTAGACAGCAGAAAAGCGAGAGGATCCTGTTTTCTACTGAGGTACTAGCACTCATAATAAAAGCCAAGAGATTATTTATCTCAATACAACATCTCGCGACAGAACTGATAGTTTAACTTTTGTAAATGCTTATAGATGGTGACTGAACGTTTCAAATATGTAAACGTACTAATGTGCACTCATCGTCAGATCGATCAGTGGATCACGAGACGCAAACGCGAACGGAAACAGCCATGTAAATAACAAGAATAATAATTTGGGAAATTGGTTCGCGAATGGCAACACATTCATATCGCTTATACCCTGTAGAAGCCGATGATTAGAATGACCCAATATCGGATCTCCTACTTTTACCCCCCCCCCCCCCCTGTGCTGTTGTGTCAATACTTTGTGTAGAGAAAATTGGGTTTATAAATGGTCTACAGTGATATATCATCATCTGCTTCTATTATGAAAATCATAATAACAATAGATAGTAGTGCAATAAGCAAAAATAAACACAATTTAAATTTGACAGGTACCTTCAGAAGTATGAATAATCAGGAGATTTTTCCTTTTTTTATAGTTTTATGTGACGGAGAATTTCATCAACGTTGATTGATTGAGCAAAGGCGATTAAGTGTATCTTGACGCAATGTGTTTAGAGCTTTTAATATTGCAGAAGAGGGCTTCCAATTTATTTGATTGTTAAATAGTTTCATTTTTCTATATTAGAGTCTAAATTTTTACAATATCGCAACGGACCGAAAGCGATAGCGCCGTCCGTGGCCGTTATCATGTGCGCTATAACCTGGATTTAAATTCTGCTAACGATAATATTATGACTCTATTAGATCGAGGTGATAGGAGTACAGGTAGATGCCAACGATAACTCAACGCAGCCGAGAAGTTATTTGATTTCATTGCCATAGATACGATATGCAAACGAGTAATGAAGACGAGTTTTCGGCCCAGTTTTGGGCAACAATAAAGTTTATTCTTATTTTTTACTTTTTTTTTTCTTTATTATTTCTAGATAGTAATTAAAATGTTTACTATCAGCTACCGTGGTTAGCTGTAACTACTAAAAATGGTAAGTGAAATTGTCATCAAGTATCTGAGTAACTGCTGTAATTGTTTTATAATAAGAATGTTGCGTCGTTACACAGATTTTCCAGGTTCAAGGCCCAGTCATGGCAAAACCGTTTTCAACACGTTTTCTGTTACCATATTCATAGCTCATTTCTTGATTTTTGTAAAAGTACTAGAGCAACATCTCTGCATTCAACTATAGTTACTAAACTATATTTATGAACACTTATATTATATTAATAATCAAGTAGATGATATCAGTTAATGTCTTATTATCCACAAAATCTACATTGGAAATAATTACGTGTCTTTTACGGTCATGATATATATAACATTTTAATCGACTAGTTCCGATGTTCATAATCTCTCTGCTTCTTCTAGTAACCGCGTGCAAAGGTCTGACGGTCTGTGTAAGTTCGATCCACAAGTTTAAAGTTACGTCTGCCTCTATTCTTCATGCGCATAGTTGACGTAGGCCTGACATCGCTACGGAACGAGATATTAATTTGTTGATTGACATGCCTGGGGCCATCTTTAGGTACTTGTTTTGAATTGCATCCATTGATCTCGATTCAGTGCGTAGTAACTACGGTACGTAAGTGTATCTCAGTAAATAGTATTTTCTAAACAGTATGCAATCTCAGCGCGTCGTACAAGCCTATAGACACTTGGGCGTTTCTTCTTCGGTTTGTGTGTTTACTTGTAAAATCGTTTTGTTCTTTACATAATATTTGGATGACATCATTTTTTATTACTACCGTAATATTACATGGTGGGTCATGTGTTTAGATAATTAATGCTCTTAGTTCAACTACTATCATATACTGGTTTATTAGCACGGCTGTGGAGACAACCTTAGGTCATCGTAGACTGAGGTGGTTCTTGTACGCTTTTTGTACGTTCTGAGGTCTCCTGACGGCACAATTATTAGAAAAAGAATATCTAGTTATATATTATCGATATATTTAGTTTTCCTCTCACCTTTAGCTGGTGAGAACTATGTTTTGTTTTTGTATAATTTTCTGCTTTTTCTTTTGAGGTAACTTAGCGAGAGTTTCAACATGAATTACCGTGTGTCGTTTGCACATCCATACGTCTAACAGAATATGGTGCTCGAATCTATCTACGCGGAACTCCAAATAATATGTCCAAAAATCAATAGTTATTGTCAATGATCACATCAGTTATATTAAAGCTGGGTTAAATACTTGTAAAAAATTCTGCGTGGACGCTTCGATCGGGAGGCGCGTTGCTTTTCTCCCTGTGGTTAAACGTATTTGCTTTTCTTTTTACTTTAAACCCGTTTTATGCTCATGCCGTATTTGCGTTTGCTGTAACTGGGTGACGTTATCGTGGACGATTTTATATCTGGCACTTAAGTTATCGGCGTGCCACAAGAATATTGCTAATAATTTTAACCAAGTAGAAGCGGTATATAAACAAAAACGATATCGACACTTGTGATACTACTGTGATAGTATCTACGAAGCCCAATGCCAGTTTTGGTAGATTTTTGTCCATAAAAATATGCAAACGAAGTTCAAAAACTAATATCAGGATTATACTAAAGTTACCCGAATGACTGTAGATTTTTTACGAATGTTAAAGGTTTGTACATATATGTTAAATGAAATTTAGCTATACTAAGTTTGTCCATTGAAAATGGTGGATCGTCACTGTCGTACGAATTAATCATCGATTATCTTAATTTGGGCAGACTAGAAGTTTCGTACCTGTCAACTACATGAGAAACTGGGACCAACTGGCAGCATATTTATTACTGGGAATCGAAGTTTTTGGGATTCCTCAAAATACTTTACTTTATATTGATTATTCACAATTCCATTTTAGTTTTTAAAAAACAAAAGAAGACCCAATTCATAGCTTTTGCAGCAAAACCCCACGGTATCAAATACACGCTTGTGCTTTTGTACAGTTTCCATTTAGGCACAAATAGGTAAATAGTGACCGTAGGTAACCTGGCTAAAATAACGGGTATAGTAGAATCAAGAGATGCGGTGAAAATATGGGCTTGTTTAGAATACACTTTCTTTACTGATATATATATATATATATATATAGTAAAACCATCAATAAATATGTTAATGATATTATTTATTGATGGTTGCGTGGTAGTTAAACGGGAAAAGTATTACCTTAGCGTTACTTTCAAGTATAGTGGGTTTCTTATTACGACGCGACCGCGTGAACATACCGTGTGATCGCAACTGTGACTAGTACCTTGAGACACACTAACTTTTTTGGCTATATCCACTGAGAATTACCCAGTCTGGCTAATTAAAACTAATCCTTCAGTTACTCTCATAGGCGTATCAATCAACGACGTTGGTGCCGATATATATAGAAGGTCGTATAGGAAGGGCAGTACTCAGCAGTAGCGGTTACATTTATATATACAAGCGAACGAATGAATCAGTCTAGGACCCATGAAACAGATGTTTTTGCGCCCACCTGAGGACCTGAAAAAACCGGGGTCAAAAGTGTAACATTCTATTTGCACTCTTAAAGCGTACTCTTAAACGGGCTACGCCCGATCATTTCATTCGTGGCATTATAGTAATTAAATGCTGTAGGACAGGGAGCGTTTTTTCGAGCCACTTACAATACATGCGTTTACCGCCTATTTTTCGAAATAATGTAAACAGTGTGAAACGGAGTGCGATAGCTTCAAATGAAGTATCATTGCAAAATTCACGATTTTCGACTGGCATAAAATTTCTACCTGCTACACAATCTATTAACCTGTACGGCATTATAGCACGGAAAGATTATGCGTAAGCACGGCCATGGTAATTCTGATAAGCTACAGCATTCGTACATTATTTAACGTACGGGGATTCTTTTCATTCTTCTGAAACTTATTCAGTGGCCGCCCTACAGAAATCGTAAGCCAGCCATACGTTCACGACAACTTTCGATAAGACGATTAATCCAGCCGGATAGGGTATATAAAAACCTGGGCAGTTCCTTTTCAGAATTTGAATCTATTGCTTTGACCCTGCGTTCGGTCTCCTAGCAACCGACATTTCAGCGTCCGGCATTTCGGATCGGCTGGGCGAAGACATGCTCTTATCGCTAGCTTGGACAGCTATACTGCAACTGGTACGATTAACGATCTGTACTTGTTTTCCTGTGAAAGAAACTGTTACCCTTTCAACTTCCGTGCTGTTCTGCGGAATCGCCAGATAGATAGAGAAAAGCAGCTTTTTGGGAAGTTGCAGTTATCACGACAGCTGAATGGAAGTCAAAAGTATTTGTTAGTCAACCTGGGTCAGTCTCTAATTTGGTCCCTCTAACATTATTATTACTTTGAAAATTGTGATCCGTTTTATATATCAACCTCATTTCTAATGTAAACATGTTGCGTAGAAGTTAATTGGATGTCCCTTTGCAATTGACAGATTGTCACTCGTAGTGTCACCGCAAGGGAGAAAAGTAAATTAAGGTGGATACTAATATATGATACTTTCATTGAAAATTTTGACGGTCACAGGAAACTAGCTTAGTATGACCAAACGATAGTTCATACCGCTACCTCCATATTGGTGACACAAATTCATATTTCAAACTGTCTTTGTACGTCTAACGATAAGCAGAAGTTGGGTAGGCGGATTTATCTTTTGTTCATCGTTCCGTTGCTCCAGAGATCCATTTAGAAAAATAGGATTTTTTGTAGATAAGCTAAATCTAGCATTTTCACAGAAAACATTTTGGCAAGCGAGTCGTAACGGAACTATCTCTGTTGGCCCTGCATTCACCCTAGAGATACGAGCAGATTAATCCTAGAGCAAGAATTACAGAGTTAATCGTCGTCTGGACAAACTGTATTTTGAAAATATTTTCCATTTAATTTTTTAATTATCAGAACAGAGAATACGAGCAGTTCGTCCGTCAGTCAATCGAATTCATATAGTTTGCTATACTTCTAAATGGGATCCCTACGTAAAACGCATGCTAACTGCTAAAATTCTAGCTATTGCTTTAAGGCAAAGGTTTTCATTTTTCTTTGGCCTCATATAAAGCTTATCTTTTACAAACCGTAACATAACTAACCTGGAATATTACCTGTGGGTAATATTTCAGGTTAGGCTACAGCAGCGGTTAATTCCCTCTCAGATAATGGGCACAGGGTGGGCGCTTAGTGATTACTATTCGCTCTTGCGATTAGGTAAAATATTTACGTATTTTTCTGTAACAATAGTCTAAGTAAAAATGTGGCATTACTGTATATACAATGTGTATGGGGTACGTGGGCCATTGAAGTATTTGTGTTATTCTCGTGAGGCAGAGATGACAGGGTGCGACGTACCTGATTTGTAATACATAATAAATGTGTAGTATTAATAACAACACGATGATATCCAGACAACATGGTTAAACTAACGATATTTTTCGGTCGCGTCTGTGAATCAACTACGAAAGGGTTCGCTGGTGCGTTATATTTATAACATGGCTGACGATGAAGTCATTTGGGACGTTTCCATCTCGTTGTCGTAACAGGTATCTTACTGCTTTTGCCTTACGAACAGATAGCAAATAAACAATAGTCTCCAATTAAAGTTCACATGAATTTACGTTGCGCAATCGTTACTTGAGCTCATTTTCTGTCATTGGTATCAATAGGAGAAATATTTAGCATCGAGAATAATAATCCAAACATCTTCACGTCTATCTTCACGAAATCGTCGTTGTCATGCATTTTTAAAGTCTTTAGTTTTTTAAAGTCGGATTACAAAGCCAGGGAAACGTTCTAACCTCTACCTGTTTTTAAAAGATCTACCTAAAGATTCGCCAATAAACCTTGATTGATCGATTCTTCGGAGGCTGGCCACAGACCATCCAGTAGAAACGCCTAATATAATCTGACGGCTTCACTGAGCAGGTGACGCTGGCTGCTGATCGGCCATTCGAATGTCGGCAACGAATTTTCCGGCTTAGAACATCTGCATTGCCTTCTTTCTACTCGTCCTCGGAGGTGACCTTCTGAGCCGTTTGCGCAACAAAGCTGACATACGTTACAGCGGCCCCCATGACGGTCATAAACGCCGATCTGTTGAGGCTGTAGAAGCGGAATGCTGTCATCTGTACGTTTTCCACAGCCATCTGGGTAGCTAGCAGACGCATCTGGCCCGGAAACACAGTATCATCGCGCGAGCGGACACAGTTGTTAGTACCAGGCTTGTCATGCGCTAAAACCGTACGAAAAGGCTCTAGAAAAGGGTATGATAACATTTCTTAGAGACAGAACACTGTTTTGTCTTTGACACTGAAGAGTCTTCAGGATGACACGCACATATCGCTCGCATATACCTTATAAATGGTAGTGATAAATACATGTATTGTTGGCCATAATAGGTACACTGTGTTATTTTGTTTGTTTCGATTCGACAAGTTTCCTATGTGACTTCATCCACTAGTCTAAATGATGTTTTGTTTTGTGACTTTATTAGCCTGACGAATTTTCAGAAAATATAGCCGTTCTATCGCGACCGAATTTAGAGGAGGTCACTCGGCAACGTCTCTTTGATACGCATGGCCCGATTTTTCGTCAGGTCAAACCCTGTAACCTTTCGACATTACGTAAGTATATGGAGAAAAGCGAATTAGAAGGAAGAAGTAGAATAGAAGGTTTATCTTTTGTCTTCTATGTTTTACGAAACCTACGAATCGTATTGAGACACACTAATCGTCGAGCGGTTTATCGAGTAGGTGTCACCTAGCTTACCTACATTAGAGTCTCTGTTCGTTGAAATACTATCGAACGGATGCATCGATCCAAAATATAGGGAATAATTTGTTACAGCTGCCACGCTACGCTGAGTACAAAATCAGTTAACTGCGCTGATGGCCTTACTTGGTGAGCAGCCGCACGACGATGAGCCTGCGGCCGGAATAGCATGTTACGAACAACATGCTCCGAGCGATCTTTGCATTCACAAACTAGCGAGGTTGCTATCGTGACAAGGCCGAGGTTGGTGATGATGTATATGAAGTTAAGCAGGAAATGCATTTTGCTGAGAAGAGAAATTCCCGCACCTCGTCCACCTGAAAATTTCTGAAATGATTCGTAACGTGCAGTGCAACCGTTACTTTATTATAATGTAGTTATTTATGAATAAGAATAACTTATCTAGGCACCGGACGTTCTAGCAGGGCAGTAATACGCGAATACAACCTGCAAGACTTTAGCCCGAGCGACATACGACATCATGTAGTAAAGGGTCTCATATGCTTGGACAGAAACGGGCACGCTTTTGGCAAGTAGGGCATGGTCGTAAGAGAACATTTCAAGATTGTACAGATTTAACGATCGCATGTTAAACGACTAGCTCAGATTTAAATTCATTCAGTGCGCGGATAAAGATGCTTCTTCTCACTAAATGTTCCATTTATACTAGAATTTGTCATCTAGTCTACGATGACTCGACTCGATAATACGCAGTGTCTAGAATGCGATAGGGATGAGTAATACAAGCTCCTTATATAGTCTCTGAATGGAACTTACCTGTATTAGATTGATGGACTCTGAGCAATACCCGGCAACAACGGATCCATGCCAAAAAATAGCCAGCGGCGAGAAAATGTCATCGAGGTATATAACCAAATCACAGAGCTCTGCATGCCTCAGTCGTAGATTACGTAAGACAAATGGGTCGACAAACTCTTGAGACGAACAGCACAAGATGTCTTCGTCAAACTTTCGGAACTTTAGATTTGTTACCTGCGATCCGGCAACGAAATGCATAGTGTTAGCATGACCGCCATACAGAACGAGTATAAAGCAAGTACAAAGCTATGTTGAATAGGGATTCTATAATAAGAAACACTATTTAGAAGCCAGTTCAATTAGAACACAAAACATTTGAGTATGTAGCCTTATATAACGTGAGTATATAACGCTTTGTAACGCATCTTAAAAGTACTTTCAGTTAAACATTTAAAATTTTCCGAAGTTCTGGAAATCATTGATCTTGTGTTAAGGGGCTAGAGGCCTACACCGAAGTCGAGTTGACGTCTGGAATTATGATAAGATAATTTCAGGACGGCCAAACTATTTGATTGCTTTTATACTTCCGCAATTAAACGTAAATGTAAACGTAAGCAATTACGTTTTTACACTGTTCGTGATGGAGCTCCCCACTCGACTAATCCAAATAAGAAAATCAAATCCAATACGCAGAATATGAATATTTAGATAGAAATAAACTGCACCAATTTCATGTATATAGATTAGATTAATTTATTGATTTATTGTTTTCCACGAATATTTTTACGTGATTTTTAGTTGTTTTTTTTTTTGTGTAGATCAGCATGAGTATACGTACGAAGTTTAGACTGACGTAGAGGATGATCATGTTAAGCATTGGTGCCGAAGCTACGAATCTGTTAAGGACTATATCGATAAAGGCAATTAGATAGATGAAAGGCACTGCTGTCGGCGTAATACTGTCTATGCTCATCAACAGCTCAGTCTCCACGTAGGTGCGAAAACTCTCAGGTTCGGTAAAGAAGATCGCCAAATCGACCGCAATACGCATCAAGATATAGCCCCATAACAGCGAAGAAATCAATAACATTAGTCCAGCCAACTGCCGTCCTGACGACTCTATTGGAAAGCAGAAAACAACTTATATACGAAGATCAACAATTAATCCATCAGTTACCTAACCAAGTTCGGTTGGCAGAAATTCTTTCACGCGACACTCAAATTTGTTATCTAATATTGAAGGAACGAAGGCTAGTCTTTCCACACAACTAGAATTTCCTTGCTATCTCGAAATATAAGAAAGTGTTCGACTGTACGAGGCTTCTTGCAGAGTATGAGCGAAATATAAATGGGCAAAAAATTCCTCGTTTTGCTGAACACAAAATATTTTCTGGGTATTTGTTGCTAATAGCTGGATACTAACACTGCCGCAAATGAGCAGCTAACCGACGACTCTATTGTGTAGCTTATAGCCGACATGGAAAAAGGAATTTTTCTTTGACGAACGTTTCGTTTGCCACTCGACGATTATCATGAACCGTTTTCCTAGCGAAGCACTAATTCTTAACAATTACAGATATTCCTTTTTATTCAGCTTAGTTCCATTAGAGCCTTATTGAAAAACTGCGTTAGTAAATAGGCTGCATATGTGTACAGGCGGTATGCTACAGGCAAGCTTGTAATCCCAACTACATCTAGGGGATTTTAAATAATAATGCTTGATGAATAAATACGATTTTTCTTTTCACTTGGAATGGAACCTTCTAAGGCCAGGAACTTGTATGTCTATTACCGTTAGTAATATATGGGTGGCGTAAGTAGCTTAATGGAGCCTATCTGAACTCACGCTCTGTATGGCATTCAGTCATCGAGCAATTACACTACAAGTGAGAGTCAATGCCTGAACGACTTGAATATCTGCGCATCTAAATTTAATTGCGGAATGATCTTATTATTAAGGCTTCTAACCACACTAAATCGTTTTCCCATTAAAATTACACCGAATATATGTAGTTCCGAATTATTATCGATGCTTAGAACTACGGACTCAGATACTAAGGTAACTTGCTATCGTCGGCAACTGTCTTTTCTACTTTTGTCGCTCTGTGTGTGATTGAAGTTTATAGGTGTTGAATCTTTAAAAGACTCCCAGTAGCTAGCTGATGAATTTGAACGAAACTTTTTTCTTCTATAAAGATTGACAGATGCTGTTAAATATGTTGGCCATAAGACGACTTATGATTCAAGGTTACATTGCACATAGTACATTTTTAACGGCTGCGAACTTTCTAAGTGAAGGCGTTTAGGAAGATACAGGGCACTTCCATTGGAACACGACGAATCCCCCGCCATTACTGCATCTGCCGCGCCACAGTTTTTCCTGGACGTTTATTGAGTTCGTTGACAACTATGATCTTGTTCTAATTTGCATTGACATTAAGCTTAGACAAGGTGGACGATTCCGTCTCGGTCTGTGTGTATACGTCGGAGCTCGTTCAGAACAGTCAAATGTGAAGAGCTATCGCTCCTTGGGAGAGAGGTCAATGAAGTAACAGCTCGAAAACGAGCTACGCCCTCTTTGGGTCACAGGCATCTATGTACAGATAGTACAAAAGACAGGCACACGGACTGACAAATGCGCAAGCGCAACCAGTCGGATCGTAGAGAACAGGATCTACTTGTTTTGTATCGCTGGGCATAGTTTACTGAACATCAGCGCTTTCATGTTGATCAGATACTTGTTGTTGTCTCTTACGTTGAAAAAACGCTATGGCCAACACAAAGCTAACGCCATGCTGGCTTGATGTGAGTTCGACAGCTCAAGTGTCTAAACTCATCTGTTCTGCCTTGTTCTCCTTATCTTTTGCGAGGTAGTGACTCTGTTGCTTTCAGCGGGCAGCGTCAGCCGCACTGTCGGTGATATCGAAGTTTGCCGTGGCATCTGCTGGTGAATCAAACAGCGGCCTTTTTGCGTCTGGCTAGTTGATGATCAACCTTGTACTAGGCATCACAGAACAGTGTCGATTATTGTCGCTATCTATGTCATTCTATGAGCAGTAAAACTATTTGAATTTGAAATTCTAAGGTTATCTCTTTTACCGAAAAATAGATTGACTTCAGTCTTTTGCGAGGTTTAATGCAGCGGCTAATCATTCATATATATGCCTTCTTGAAAGGCCGCGGGCGATAAGTTACTTCTTCTACCACAGTCTGTAATGCTCGGTAAGTTTATGCATAGTTTTTTTTTTCTTGATATCACTTTGACTGTGAATTTTTTAGATATTGTACTGTGTAGAACATGGGCTAATAAACGAATCGGTGATGATGATGAAGACGACAAAATCAGTAATTTACATTTTGGTTGACAAATGACAAATTGGTTAAAGTGACGCCGATCACTTCACGGGCACTAGAAGTTTAGTGGGAGTTTCGGTCCTAGAGGAATATCCATGCTGTACAATCGTACTAAAAAATAATATTATATATGGAAAGTAGGTCATAAACAAAATATATATATATACTTTTTTCCAGACCAAATAATATAACTTAAATATTTGAATAAATGCACTTCTATGGCTACACGGGGTGAGTGGCTGGAGAGTGCTCGACTGGACCGCTGCCATCAGAATGAAGCCACATAAACCATAGATGCCGCATGAATACGGCACTTGCTAGTGGGAGCGTTGCGTGTGAATTGTATTAGGTTCGCAGTGTTTGGGTACCATGACGCGACGACGGCTGCAGCATAAATTGTTGATCAGAACCTATGAAGCGATGCCGACCTCGCGATGCATCAAGCAGCGAACCACTACTGGGCACCAATGATCAGCGTACTGCAAGGAAGTTAGAAGTTAAGCGGTTTTTTACTCAGGCAAAGCATGCTGAATCGTTCCGGCGCGAATAAATTACGACCCTTGCTTCCATAAACGGAAAAGCCTTGGTGTTTTCTAAGTGTCATCAGGGTCATTCAAGCGCAGGGAAAACTGTTTAGCGCCCAGTGGCCCGGTATTCTTCGGTCAGAGCGGATTCGGTCAGAGCAAAGAGTCGGATTTAAGCTAGACCACGTGCGTACGTTCGCGGCCGTGACGTGCGCCAGCAAGTGGAAGGTGATCAGTCGCGATCGCTACGTGTATCATTATTACAACACAAGCTTAAGGACAAGGGGAAGATCGGCTATGTGGACCTGTGGTCGTAGACTCGCACCATGCACTTTACCAGGAACACCGGTAATTGTATCACCTGCAAGTTTGTTTTGAAGAAAAAGGACTCTGGGCGCCATGTGCCTGTGAAGATAATTAAAAAATCTATAGTGTACAGCATGAAGTTGGACCTAGAGAATACTGCTTGCGGGGTGCTCCTCATCCCGTCGGATAAGCGTGGTCGAGTTGTAATCAAATAAATATAGTTTAAGTATATGAATGAATACACGTCAATAGGCGCAGATCGACTGGTCCAGCCAGCCAACGATAAAGCTACACCAGCTTGCCTCTGTATAAAAGGAGCCAGCTATGGAACGGACAGCCTTACCTTTATGTGGAAAGTTGTCGTATATTTCGAGAGCAGCGTTAATTTTGTTTCGACGTCGATCAATCACACGCGTAGAAATCGTGGAAACTAAGGCTCGCAAAAAATTTGTGGCCGAGCTGCCAAGCAAGTGTCGGGCAAACAAAAATTTAATAGCGATCAGGCCAATACTTCGAACCAGGAACATTATCGACAAAATAACAATAAGTCTTTTGTATTGAACATACGTTTTGAGCATCTGAGCATTACTGTAAATAGAAGAAAAAAAAGAAGGTAATTTTCTATAACGTTAGCTATCGCAGACATGGAGTTGGGATTTATTTTAACATTGCATTGTATATGGTACTATAAACGACGTCCCTTTTGATAAATCTCATGCTGAACAAAAAAACATTGATCGTTGAGAACTGCATCATTATTACCACATATGCGTATAGACTTGAATCTTTCCTAGAAAAGAGTCACGGCAACTTTGCGCTAGATCACGAAATCGCTTATATAGTCGTACCTTTTCTTAGGATCTATCCGGGACCTGTCGAACGGCCCAACTGAAACAGCTTCACAGTTTCGCAGCGTCGGGCCCAACATGTCTGCAGTGTAACTTGATGAAATGACCATGTTTGCAAAGAATACGAACCACGAAACGAGAACTGCTTCTTAGCGTTTGGGAACTCAGAATTACAGGACCCCTCGCCGCGTGAACGTGTCAGGGCAACAGAACAAACTTGTGCTTTGAGTCCTTTATGAATTTCGCAAGATGTAGCGACAATATTTTAGGGTTGGTCACTGTATCAGCGTGCTAAACGCCACAGGAAAAAGGACTCAAAATTGGAACCACCTCGACAGCGCGTGGTGATAGCCGAATAGAATTTTCCCGTTTGTAAAGTTGATATACGTTTCAATGATATAGCATCGACAGTATCCGAATCATTTGGACTGTCAGACACCCCCTACGCTGTGTCACTTCGGAAATAAGTAGTTTAATTTGTCAATGTCAGCTTACAAGGCGTTAATGAAAGCACTCTATATATTGCATTTGAAATAGGAATCGGTATATAATTCTGTCATCTGTCGACCCGGTCGAACCTATCAGAAAATAGTCCCG